ATCTTTTCTGAACGCATTGGTCCAGATGCTTAAAACAGCCTTTGTCTCTGAATTTCATAAACAAGACTGTCTGAGAATCAATAATTTCAGCTGTCTGCTACAAATGATGAAAAAAGTGCATAAGGTAATATTTCATTTAAAGAATGTAAACATCAGTTTATTAAATCATGATCCATTAGATCTCAGCCTGTTGGGAGTCATTTTCTCTTTTTTTTTCTTTTACTTCCCTTTTATTCCTCATTCTGTATTGAACACAAGGCCTTCACCCCAAGCTACACCCCAACCCTTTTTAAAATTTTTTAAATTTGAGACTTGGTCTGGCTAAGTTACTAAATTGCTCAAGCCGAACTCAAACTTGTGTCTTCCTTTCTTAGCCTTCCAGAATGTGAGACTGCTGGCATGTGCCACCATGCCAATTCATTGGAATCTTAGGAAGTAAAGTATGAATTATGAGAAATCAAATATGTTTTAAAATACAGAAATCCTTACTACTCATTGTAGATTTGCTCCAGGATGAAAATTGGCAGAGCTATACAACCTATACCATGGTCATTTCAGAATGGATATTGAAACAAATTTTGTATCCTTTAGTAGTCAATCCTTAGTATCTCCCAAACTCCAGTATGCCCCTTCCTATCTCAGCCCTAGGAAACCACTAACCTACTTTTTATTTCTATTATTTTGGACATTAATGTAAATGGAATCACATGTCATGTGGTCTTTGCTGTCTGGTTTCTTTCTCCTACATAGAGTTTACCAAGTTAATCCTTTTACATTAGTACATAAGTTTCTGGGTACACAGATGTTTTCATTTCTCCTGGCCAAAGTGAAATTGCCTTTACAATTTCATTCTAACTACATACAAGGCATGGAATCAGAACAACTTTTTAAAATTTTCTGTCCAGGACAGGAGCAGTCTGTTTACTCTCAAAGACACCTGTGACAGGCCTCAGAGGTCTAGTGGGGGTGGAGCTGGGGTAGCCCTGGAGGAGGCATCAGAGGCCACATCTCTGGAGGGTTCTGTAGCCTCTGCTTCCCAAGGATTTGCCCCGGCCAAGTGGCTCTTCCAGTCACTACAGACCTTGTACAGCTACTGCGACCTCTTTTGTGGCCTGTGTTTGCCTCTCCTGCTAGGACACAGCCTCTTCCCTGAGAGTCCTACCCCCCATGTCTTATTCTACCGCCATAATTGCTTTGACGTTGAAAAACCAACCACAGTGATTCTTACCTTCATTTACTATGTATAACAAAACTATGTGCCAAATTCACATTTTTTAATTCAAGCAAGAATACTGAATTTTCTGAAAGTATCTTGGATTTTTAGTGTACTTTTTATTTTTAAGGCCTAGAGGGCTGGGGAGTCTAAGTGCCTGCCTGGCAAGTGAAAGGACCTGGGTTTGATACCTGGTACTGCATGTTCAAGGTGTTCCATGCTGGCCACAGAAAGTGGGCATGCTGGCGCACACCTGTAATCCTATTGCTCGGGAGGCTGAGATGAGAGGATAGCTAT